TTTATATTAAATTTTGTCTTAATATACCAAACATAAGTTTTATTAGGATATATTTGTGGCAGCCGGCTGGAGGTGCAGTAAGTAGTGTACAGTAAATTGTTAGGAGTGCTGTCCCACTTGTTTACAATTCGGTGGAGTTATGAATAGTGGCTCGGATTGATGAATCGGAGAGCCAAGTTCGAATTCCATTCGAATCCATTACATTCATTTACGTACTAATGCCCTTGGGAAAGGTAAGTATCCTCTTCTTCTCCCTACAGCTATGGGTAAATAGCAGGACAGATTTGGTTCTATAGCCCTCGATGGCAACTGGTCTACCAGAGAAAGAAGTGGCAACCTGCTGCGGGAAAAAAAACCTGCCTCGTCAGTCATGTATCGAAAGATACATGATCGCCTAACCGTGTATCACGTATGGCATATAACTGAAAGTTTGTATTTTATGCCCCCTAGTCGACCCCTAATTTTGGAAATATATTTTAGGAGTGAAATCTCGACTTACACGCCGGTAATCTGAAAACGGTCAAACTTTAGACCGGAAAACAGAGATCGAACCTGTAACATCCTGACAGGATGCTAGCGATGGTAGCAAAATCGGTTTTATACAAAAAAACACTTATAATAATTGATTCGATTTTTACAGCTTATCAACCCGTTGCAGGTTATTTAAAGCCTAAAAATGTATTTAAATTGTAAGAATGTTTTGAGATTATAATGAATTCGTGATATAAGTTTTACCAATTAACACATAGCTTGGGTAAGGGGAGAGGTGAATACTTATCTTTCCGTAACTGATTATGACCAACACCAATGGGAATTGGAACTCGGCTCTCCGATTAACAATTCCGAGCCATTATCCATTTCATTAAACTTATATATATTCCTAAGTGGTTATCCATATAGTTACTGACCAGGCTCGACGTTGCTTAACTTCGGTGATCGTAGCGAAACCGGTGTTTCAACGTGATGCGGCCTTATGCCAATGAAATATTTACTACCAAATATGAAAATAAAATAAAATCTGTATATTAATAAAAAAAAATAATTTATTTCCTTCTTTATTTCATACTCGATTAAAGAAAAGAAACAATGATATTTTACAACCAATAAAAGTGCTGATGCCTGATACCAAAAATAATCGTTCTATGACACTATACATAAAAAATAGAAACTTGCTTACTCAGCCTGTATTTCGACGTGACACGTTGCTATTCACAGAAGCGCAACTTTTCACTCATCCGCATTGAAATATTGAATGCATGAACATTTTGCTTCTTGATAAATTTTAACATTTTTATTTTTAAAATAATGATAAAAAACAGTAATACTGAAATACGAATAGGAAAACTTATGTATCGAAATTTGAACCAAAAATAACTATTTACTGATTACTATTGCTTGTGATTCATTACTTTTCTCCAAGAATGGCTTTGACTTTAAAAAGTTTCTTGCCTGAGTCGGAGTTTCATAAAAGTTGCCATTTATGGAACTATCACACTAACATCAAACTTCACAAAATTAAACCCATTCTAGAGGAATGATATCATGGTCTCAAAACTTTACGGAAGAAAAAGAAGTTGTCATATCAAGAATCAGAATAGAATATCGCTATATTACAGTTCAAAAGTTTGAGGCCAGCCCTGATAATTTTTTTAAATTAGCCCAAAAATGGTTGTTTTTTGTTTTGTTTTGTTTTTTTGTTTTTTTTGCTTTAAATAAGAGAAAATTATCGTTAAAAATGAGACATGATTTTTATTAGAAATTTTATTATGACAAAAATAAAAAAGCATTTTCTTTTGCTTTCGTCAAAATATCCTCTTTTAGCCTTGTTTATTGCAGCACACATTTTTGGCATTCGTTGCAAAAGTTCTTCAAATTATATCTTTGATAATTGATGGTATTCCTTATTTCAATGACTCCAAGAGCTATTTTTAATTTTCTTTTTCATTGAAGTTGATCCCATGCTAATTCTATAAGTTCAATATTTTGAACTGTAGTGTATGTCACTCACTTATTTCTCCTAAAAAAAAAGAGAACATTTACATCATGTCAGCTGACATATACTGTAAAACATATCCTGACCTATTATAGGGATCTTGCCACCATATGTCAAAGATTCTTTGAGATGCCTAGTTTAGAGAAACCATTTTCAAGAAGATAAAAGTGGAGACTAACCTAGCCTACTTGGAGGATGCTGATCTACCCCACCGATTATAGCACTAAATAACTGGAGGGTGATAGAGCTGACAGCTCAAAGGATTGTTTACAAGCAATATCTTTTTAATCATTTCACCCAAGCACGGCAACAAAGTCGTAGCTGGTTACCGAATGTGAAAATATATAAGAAAAAGAATTATTAAAGAGCAAGAACAAGAAAAGAACAAAAATCACGAAGACATAAGATATCGATTGATATTGCATTTAAAATTTTGAAGATCAAACTTGACTGGAAAACAACTTGTGTGGTGGTCATGAGGAGATGAAGGAGTCAGGTCTTTATATTTCTTATATTTGAACTTAGCTAGTTGCAATCACTGATACAAACATACCACATTAATCCTTACACCGAAAAAATACATCCTTGCTTATCATTCTAACTACAATCACCATAATACCTCCGAGTCTCTATGAAGTCATAACTAGTCCTCATATGTATAATTTATCTGTGGGAGTGTGGAATAGTACTAGAGAGGAAGGTTCATCAAGACAATTACCATGAACGCATTTATAGAAAAGGCTGGGGAAAAGCTACATTATGGCGGTGAGACAGTGACTCAAGACGTGATGCCAGGTCACGACCAATGACGTTACAAATTCTTCTTTGAATTTTATCTAGGATCTCTAAATATATAGCAGAAGCATCAAACCATATAAGGCAGAAATATTCTAAGCATGAATAAATGGTAGACTGATAAACATGCAAGATAGATTCTGACGAGAAAATTGTCTCGCATGACAAAGTGGACCAACTTTTCTAGATCTTTTCACCATTAAAGTACCAAAAGATTGCCATGCAATCAAACATAAAAATTAATCAATTAATTTCTACATTAATATGAACAGATTTTCTAAAATAATAATTGTAAAAAAGCATTATCGAAAAAGTATCCGAAGCATAATTTTTCTAATATTACTATTACTTGTAAAAAATTTTTAATATACTATGAAAGTCAGGTTACCAATGAAATAATAAAAGTGAAAATTCATTGACTAAATTGTACCAAACATTATTTAATATGACTGTTATTATTGCAAATTTCTATAATAATATGAACAAAATTTAATAATATAATCATTATAGTTAAAAATTCATTATCGAGTAATGATTTAAATATAATACTACTATTATTATCATTATTATTATTATTACTGTTGTTGTTGTTGTTATTTTTCATTGTGGTAAAAGTTTACAATAATATTGTGGAGCAAAGCTAATAATGAAATTTTATTAGTGACTAGCAGCATGGCCCGGCGTTTCCCGTGCTTGATTCAAAAATCGTACGACTCATACAGCAATCGCTATCACTTGACTTGAAATATTTTTGCCCTTCCTTGCCTTTAAAGGAGTGCCCTTTGCCGTGCTGATGTTGCTACATGCCTTACTTCTTGCCTATCTCACACTGCGAATTTTTTCTAAGCCCTATACTAAACATTAAATCTGTTACGAAAAAAGAACTAAACAAAATGAACACAAAACGATCAGCTTTAAAAAAGGACTCGTAACTGGAAAAACCGAATGAAAAAAGAATGTTAACAACAAATACTTTTTCACACCCAACCCAGTTCTGCAGAATCAGAATCAACGTTGAGTTTAAGCAAGCGAATGAGCCAATTGAAGTAAAGTGCCATGTAGATTTAAATTTTTCCCACTTGTGACGAATGCAGCTATCGATTTTTTGCATGCCAGCATGCTAGTTAACATTCGTGTCAGTCAATTGTTGGCTCTCACGCTGGCCAATAGAATCTTCCTACCTGTTCGTGGCAGCCAGCTATAGGCTACCTCTCTGGCCATTACAAAATGGCCGCAAACTACATGAAAACTGCCGTACAAGCATGAAAAAAATCGATTATTTCCACTATCGATGGGAGTTGGGAAATGCAAAGTCGGTCTTGGCCTTCCCATAACTTGGAGCATGTGCATGTAAATTTTGGTGCAAATGCGTCGAAAATTGCTGCCGTTACACACACACACACACACACACACACACACACACACACACACACACACACACATCCTGTCTTTTATAGATAGAGATGCTGTGGAAAATAACACGACGTGAAAATTAAAACTAAAATATCTACCGTATTTGACGGCATATAACACGCACTGGTGTATAAGGCGCATCCCAATTTCAGCAGCGCAAATCGAGAAAAAAAAATAGTAATTAGTAAAATTATTAAATGGTACAGCCTAGGCTATATTTAGTACGTAGTATTTTGGTTAAAGAAACCATGATTACAATTAAACGAAAAAAGGAAAAAAGAACACGAGCCTATAAAAAAAAAATTATTATGTCCTTTATATGATGTGTACAACTTGCGTCTTGTAAACGTCTTATTGGAATAATTAGGATATAAAATATCTGATTCTGATTCTGTTTATACCAATGCCACAGAAATTTATCACAAGAAAAATATTAATGAAACAAATATATTTTACAAATAGATAATGACAATTTATTGCATATAATTTTAGTGAAACAAAGTACTAATATAAAACGTGATGAAATTAATATAATGAATATTATCAACGATAACACTTTTAATCTGCGTAATAACCTTTTGAATAGGTATATGAAACTTATTCTAAAGTCAAAACTAATAAGAGCTGCCTGGTTGCTAATTTCGGCCGACTATCCCGAATTTTAAACCTACATATGGCATATAAGACGCAGGGGAATTTTATTTATTAAGATATTTTTAGTAAAAAAAGTGCGCCTTATATACGGTATCTTGAATCTTAAACCTAAATCTAAGCTACCTTGAGAATATTTAAATTAGGCTTATGGCCATATCACATTGAAATACTAGTTCCCGTACGATCACTGAAGTTAAGCAATGTTGAGCCTGGTCAGTACCTAGATGGGGGAATGCTTAGGAATACTGGGTGCTGTAAACTTGTATGTGCAGATTGTGTAATGGATAAAGGCTCGCAATTGTTAATCGGAGAGCTCCAGTTCCCATTGGGTTCATTATGTTCACTTACGTACAAATATTCTTGGGTGAGGTATGAATGCACCGCTTCTCTCCCCCCAGCTATGGGTTAACTAGTAAAACTTGTAACGCTAAACTATTATTATCTCGAAAAGAGTCTCGCAAACAAAAATAATTTCTTGATTTAAATAACCTATCAAAGAGTTGATAAGCAGTAGTAAACGAATCAATAAAAAAAAGTATTTAAATTAATAAAAACCAAGGAATATTTTTTCGGAAAGATTTTTGTAGAGATATATTTTTATTTTATGATTGAATTTACCTTCCTCTTTAGACAACATTTGGCAAAATCGAAAAATATTGATATTTTTTTTATCATTTTGGAATTTAATACTGGTACCGTTGTATCATTTTATCCAAAATAGATGTAATCCGGCTATCAGGTCTACCAGACAACCTCAAAGGAAAATTCTTTCGACTTATTGTAGAAAGCAGTTTTAATGTATAGTGCCACTGCTTGGTTTGGTTTGTTTTACGGCATATCAACGTCAATAGGTTATTTAATGCCGACAAAATTTTCATTGTTGGTAATATTTTTTCCCAAAATCTATTTCTGGTAATATTTCTACTTCAAAAAATCTATTTCTGTAATATTTTTACTTCAAAAAATCTAATTCTGGTAATATTTTTACTTCAAAAAATCTATTTTTGGTAATATTTTTGCTTCAAAAAATCTATTTCTGGTAATATTTTTACTTCAAAAAATCTATTTCTGGTAATATTTTTACTTCAAAAAATCTAATTCTGGTAATATTTTTACCTTCAGAAAATATATTTCTGGTAATAATTTTCCTTCGGTGGTAATTTTTTTTTTAAATGTATAGCTGCTAATGTCTTTGTTTGTTTTTTTTAATGTATAGCTGCTAATGTCTTTTTTTTTTTTTTTCGAAAATATATAACTGGTAATTTTTTAAATGTATTGCTGGTTATAATTTTTTACAAAGTATTTCTGATATTAAAACCTATTTTTACACTTTCGTAGTGTTTTGACCCCAGTTTAGGAGTTAACTTTTTGAACATAGATGTGACCCTAACAGGTGCTACCACTCCGGGTCAGGGATGACCTGGGAACACTAGCAATTAAGAGGTGGTTCTACGCGTCTCAAAACCTCCTGATCAGAGGCCTTGCTGCTGGATGTAGTTTATCGTCTTACCCAGGACGCGGATGTAGTTTATCGTTATACCTAGGAGGGTCCACTACTTGGTCAGTAATTAAAACTCAAGATTCTAGGCTTAATGAAACCTTCACTCGGATGAGCTATAATAAACATCTCTTAGAGACAACATCCAACTAAAATAAACATCTCTTAGAGACAACATCCAACTAAATGACAGCTCTATGGAGGCATCCGTAATAATTTCTAAGCGTAGGTTACATGTTGCAGATGTGGAATACCTTGTGAGAATTGAACTTGCTACACAGGTGTAATTGATCCATCTAGACAAGCTGCCTACCTAATGCACAAAGTCGAAGTGCACAGACAAACGGAATTTACGCGGTGTTTCCTTATTCCCCCACGAGAATGAGATGTGACACAAGGTCGGATTAATGTGGGGACCCGAGCACGTACACAGTAGTAATTTTCCAAGCGTAGCTTAGATGTGGCACAAGGCCGAAGTTAGGGGGTACCCAGTGAGGATCGAATTCACTATTCACTCGTAATTGTTCTAGCGAGCCAAGCTTGCTAACCACTACACCGCCTTGAGGTGCCCGACAAACGGAATTTAGGCATATAATAAATAACTAAGCCAAATTATTGAAATATTGTTTATTTAAGATGGCTTTGTTTTCTCTAACGAATGTAAAATAACGATTTCTTCATTTCTTTTTTCTTTTGTTGTAGTGACTAAGTTTTTTTCTTTTTCTTTCCTTATTTCGCACCGGACGACATTTCCGTGTGGAAATGTGTCGGGTATTTGCAATAAGACGTTAATGAATGGTCAAAAAGTAAATAGAGGGAAGGGGAGGAATACAAAAGAAGAAGAAAATTGTTCCTAATTACTTTGTTTGCAAAAGTAAAGACACTATTCAAATTCGTAATTGTTATCAAAATTACTTTCGTATTTTCTCAGTCTGGCGGCACTAGTTAATCTCGCGTATCGTATTCAGTAATTAGACGAACGCCCACGATACAACTCAATGGGGCACAAGGTCGTGTTTGATGTAATTTTATCGGCAATACGCTGGGGACATTCTCGAATTCCCCTCGGAACTTCCCTATTTTGGGAACACCACAGATGCCAGGTAATAAATCCAGACACATGCAGAATGCTGCCTGGAGGGATGGCCTTTGAGTCTTAAACAAATATTATTGGCAAAGTAGTTCACTCCAGTTATGTGCCATGTGTGATACATGCTTAGGCAATTATGTATTTTTCGATATATAACTGACGAGGCAGATTTTTTTTCCGTAGTAGATTGTCATTTCTTTCTGCAATAGACCTATTTACCCATAGCTAGGGGAGAAAAAGAGCAATATATTTTCATAGTAAAAAGGGTATTAGCACGTAAGTCAACGTAATGGATGCGATTGGAATTCGAACTCGGCTCTCCGATTCATCAATCTGAGCCTCTATCGATTACTTCACCATGCCTCCTTAGAACCGAGTTCAAATTCTAGTCGAATCCATTACATTCACTTACGTGTAAATACCTTTGGAAAAGCTATGAATCTTCTCCCTCCAGCTATGGGTAAATAGGAAGACAGACCGGGTTCTATAGCCTTGGATGGCAACTGGTCTACCTCAGAAAGAACCTACTGTGGGAAAAAAAAAATCAGCCTCGTCAGTCATGTATCGAAAGATACATGATCGCCTAAGCGCGTATCATGCATGGCAAATAACTGAACTGAGTTCACTCAATTGACGCCCAGAATACAATACACGAGTTATTATTCTAAGCCTCCCTTTACTGCTTGGGCACTTATGTAGTGCCTGTATCTGAGCTATGCTAATTAGGCAGTCATTTACATATTACTACACATTTATTTACTTTCCTGGGTATGACGATAAGCAACATTCGGGAACAAGGTCTCTGATCGGGAGGTTTTCAGGAGTGTAGATCTACCTCTGAATTACTGTCATTCTAGGTCTGTCCTACTCGGGGTGGTAGAACCTTTTATTGTCTCGGTTATGGGCAACTAGATAAACCCCAAACATGGGTGAAAACACTATGAAGGTATAAAATAAATTATAGTAAAAATACCAGCAATATATTTTCATAGTAAAAAAAAATTGCCAGCAATATATTTTTGAAAAAAGAAATTACTAATGCTCCGAAGAAAATTAAATTTCAGCATTAAAGAGATGATATTTCGCTAAACAAACATTTAGTTAAATTCCCAGATCAATTCTGTGGACAAGACAGATTGGTATAAAATGGCAATTGGAAAATAATCTTAGATTTTGCCGACGCGTTTCGTCTTCCATCTTTTTCAAGGCAAAAATGAAATCGAAATGTTTTTGTTGTTATAGTTACATTAAAAAATACAAATTTAAAATGATAGACGCTTCTGTCTAAGTTTTTTTTTTTTTTTTTTTTTGTGGTTAATGTAAATATAAATATAAAAAATCCCTTACTATAAAGGTAATTTACATGATGAACTAGACAATAATAACCGTGGATACAAAGTGTTGTAGCCTGTTTAGGGGCCAGAAAGAAAGACACACACATATAAATATATATCTGTTATTTCAATACACTTGTTCAACCTACCTTCGTCTTCCGTAGCTTTTTGCTAGGGAGAAATACGGAAATTACTGTACTGTTAGTGGCCGACATAAACCTGTGTCAGTTGGCAGTTTTATTATTTGATATCCTGCGACAGTCACCTTCGTTGTGAGAAGACAAATGTTTGTTTGGTATAAAATAACAATTGGAAAAAAAAATCTTAGATTTTGCCGACGCGTTTCGTCTTCCGACTTTTTCAAGGCAAAAATGAAATCGAAATGTTTCTGTTGCTATAGTTACATTAAAAAAATCCAAATTTAAAAAGATAGACGCTTCTGTCTAAGCTTTTTTTTGGTTAATGTAAATTACCTTTATAGTAAGGGATTTTTTATATTTATATTTACATTAACCACAAAAAAAAAACATACTTAGACAGAAGCGTCTATCATTTTAAATTTGGATTTTTTAATGTAAATATAACAACAAAAATATTTCGATTTCATTTTGTGATATATATATATATATATATATATATATATATATATATATATATATATATATATAAAGCAAGAGTGTTAGTAATAAGCAGATAGAGGTGTACGTCCGAACGGTAGGTTAACACTGCGTCTCCGCTTCCCAACCGACTGCCCAACGATCCTTCTAAGAGAAAGTCTCGCAGTTAGTATTAGGTTGGTGCAAAAATGACGTAATAATGTTATTTTTTGACGTTAAAAAATACGTCAAAAAACGACATTATTACGTCATTATATTTGCACCCACCTAATAGTATTTATGAGAGGAGTTCATTGTACTGTAGGAGGGTTTACCACAACACAAAGTAAAAAAGAAAATATTTAATCGCCTATTCTAGTGGGTGACCGGATGAGCTGTGTGATATGGAATGAAGAAAAGTATACAATGAAGATTATGAAGTTATAGGGCATAAATAATGATTAAACGTAGACATGAAGAGGTTACGGATGATAATATTTGAGGAAACACCCATCTAAGAGAATTTCAGGTGGTGGTGATTTTCGGAAAATATGTTTTCCAAGTGTAGGTCGTTCAGGTTTTATTTAGTAAACGCACGTGTTTGTAACAATCGATACTACCTACTTCAGTTCACGGTATCTTTGTATTCACGAATCATAAATTAGTATGGTACAAGTTTGAAACTTGTGAGCACCCAGTGGACATGCACTTGTTGTATATCCCCTTTGTGGGCATGGTGC